ATGTAACCAATCCCCCTCCCTCACTTCACTTTAGGTTTCACCCTTATTTGTCACCTACGTCTTACCTACGTTCAAACTAATGGTCGTGTTCTGCGGTAGGCCTTGGTGGTCCACTACGAGTGCGCAAATAACGATTCATGCGCGCAACGACAAAATGTAATGGACCCCATGTAATCAATCCCCCTCCCTCACATTAGTTCATGTTTTCCTTTTTTTGGCACCTACGTCTTACCTACGTTGAAATTAATGCTCATGTTTCTTTGGTAGGCCTTGGTGGTGGGTGCACTACGAGGGCGCGCGCAAGTAATGATTCATGCGCGCTACGACAGACCCCTAGTGTAATGGACCCCCTGTGATAAATTTCCCTTGTTGTCTTCAGCTTATATTTCCTTTGTTTTTGTCACGCGCGCCTTACCTACGTTCAAACTAATGATTATGTTCCGTGGTGGACCTTGGAGGTCCACTATGAGGCCGATGTGAACAATCTGGTTTGTCCCTCACCCCTGCGACAAACGAGTGCGAAATAGATACGCGATTTTCGTAAAATTTCACAACCACTGTTCCTTCCTCCGTGCACCCCCTGACCCCCTCCTGTTCACCTTATCACAACTTTCTCATAAATCATTATTTTTTTGTACCGTGTGCACGGCCAGGGGCTGCAACTGCTGAATTTTCATGTGATATTTTTCTATTTCCCAAAATAAAATACTGTAAAATTCGTCACATTAGTCCAATGGATTAAGAATCCGTACGCCACTACTCAACTACGAAACAAATTATATTGCATTAATTTACTCAAAATTTGTAAATTTAACATATCACCATACTGATTTTGACACTGACGCCATTGCAGGAAGGGGGTGACTTTCTGAATCTGGAATGATGCAAACATTTACAGTGTAACGGTCTTTGTTTCAAATATTTTTGTCGATTAATCCAAGTGAAAATATATTAAATTTGTAGGGGGAAAAATTCTGATACTGAAAAAATTTCGCGTGTTGGATCCACATTGGGCAAAATATTCGCTTGGGTGCTGACTACGGCTGCCGCACAATGGCTGCTCCAATTTTTCTGTCTCATTGACGAACGCTTTCTAGTAAATGTTTACAGTACTGCAGACCTTGTTTCACATATATTGTTAATTAATGAATGTCAAAATGTATTTCCAATCTTTGAAACTCAATTCCTAAATATAAAACTCATCCTCGCCTAGATTTACCCCCGAATCCCAACAGTTCGCCTGACCACTCACCAGGACTGCCGCACACCGGGACTCCAATCACTCGAAGCGACCGGTCGGAAGTTGCAATCGTATACAGTACAACAGTCTCTATTTCACATTTCATTGTTAGTTAATGAAAGTGGATATATTCCTTTTTCAGGAAAGCAGACACAAAAAATGACTTATCCTCGTGTGGATGGTATCAGCAAATGTTGGCTTCAACGCTCACTGGGAGGATCAGACAATGAGTGGTCCAATTGGTAGGTGTCAAGTAGCGTACGTTGCAAACATTTTCAGTACTGCAGTCTCTGTTTCACAATATTTTGTCAGTCAATGAATCTAATATTTCATGCTCTCATAAAATCAAATCCTCACGACCACTCATCATGACCGCTACCGCTATCTACGGCCCTCGACCTCTCAGTTTGCTGCTCACCACGAACACAACACAATGGGTGGTCCAATTGATTGAAAAAGAAGAATGCTGCAAATGTTTACAGTACTGCGAACTCTATTTCATATTTTTATTGCCAGTTATTGGAAATCGAAATATTTTTCATTCTTAGAAAAACAAATCCGAAATAATAATCCATCCTCACGCGGATGCTCACTGTGAATGTCCGCTTGGATGCTCACTACGAATGTTTACATTATTAAGAATTTTGTTTCTTATTTTATTGTCTCGAGCTTCAAGTCGAAATATATTTTATTATGTAAATGTATTCCGAATTTTGTTTCACCTTTTATTGTCAGTTAATGAAAGTGATTATATATTCATTCCATAATGTTGCAAATGTTTACAATATTAAGAACTTTGTTTCACATTTCATTGTTAGTTAATGAAAGTGAAATATATTTCATTCTATGAAAAACAAATCTTAAAAATGACTCATCCTTGCGTGGATGTTCACTGCAAAACGTTCGCTTCGGTGCTCACTACGAGTATCACAGAATACGTGGTCAGAGCACAAGTCGGGGCGGAATCGATAATGTTACAAACGTTTACAGTATTAAGTTTGTATCACATTTTGTTGTTAGTTAATGAAAATCAAAATATATAACATTGGATCAAAAAGCAAATAAAAAAGAAGACTCATCCTGACGTGAATGTTCACTGCAATGTTCGCTTGGGTGCTCACCACGAGCATCACAGAACAGGTGGTTCGATTGCTCGGTCTCACTTCGAGAATGTTGGATTCGCTTTACAGTATTAAGTAATCTGTTTCGTTTTTTTTTGTTACTTAATTTATTTGTAATAAGTTTTCCAAATCGGTTCGATGGAGCGGTCATGGAAAGATTCTATAATTTCACAACAAATAACGGTTCAATGGTAATTCACCTTACGTATCCCGCCCAACATACATTCCAATCTCAACACTGCACTCTCGCGTAAAGAACCGAACATGCATTCAATACTTTTTTTTTTTTTAGGGTTTCAGTACGTAAATATGTTTCACTCTTTGTAAAATGAATCCGAAAAACATGACAAAAACAGGGTCTCCCGTAATCCAAGGTCCGAAGATATTTTGTCGTGAAAGAAAAGGAATGAGGTATCAAGTAGGACATTATCATAACGGGTCCGTTTTTGTTACCTTGCATCAATCGCCGCAATTCGAAATGTAGTCATATGACTGTCCCTGCGTTTAAGACTAATCATGGCAACGGCGGACCCCCTTTGTGTTTAGGGAAAAAAATGTCATTTCTCACGTTCACCGGACCTCCCTGTCTATATGTGTCATATCATGGCTTGGGCACTATAATGACCGCTTATTTCTGTATGTGGCACTCCCCACAAAACCGTGTCATATGATCGACGCCCTAAAGCGCACCCTACGTGTTTGGGGACAATAAGCTTACTTTTTGCCTTTGTATGGCAATGCTGGTAGTGAGACTGATGCCCTTGCCGACAGTCCACATATATGGCTTTAGAGCATACTCACACGCTGCTCGTTCTGACTTCGTCCCTGGCGGACAGAGGACTTACCTAAATGTATCCGACAACAATTGCGGACAGAGGTAGATGCGCACAACTACAATTGCGTTCCAACCTCACAACAAAACGTCCCCATGTGAGTGCGCCTACAGCTTGAGATGGTTTTTTTTTTTTTTTTTTGGCAGCCACCGTTTTCGTGCGCCGTATTGCTTCGGGACAAGAGGGCGACCAAAAAATGCTATTTGAAGAGAATTTTTTTGTGACTTTTGCTTGTTCGTTTTTTTTTTTTTTTTTTTTTGTTCCTCAACTCACTTCATAAGCCTCACAAGCGGCCTTCAGGAGGTCGTGGGTTCAATCCCCATTGGCCTCATGTACCTTCCTGGCCATGGTTGGCGCCAGACAAGGAGAGAAAGACCTGTGGATCCCCCAATCAGAAATAAGCAATCTCCTGATGTCCGTAGGGGAGGGGACCTGAGGGGAAGCACAGGGATTGGTCCTGTTCTCATGGTCCATCATGCTACATGGTCCCCTACCCAGTGTCGCCCACCTGCAGGTTGGGAGCAGGCCCCAACCTCGTGAACACAATTGTGGTTGCTACGGGGTTCCCCGTATCCCTACGTTTAGGACCGGTGTTAGGTGGTAGGTTGTATGAGGTGAAATTGGGAGAAGAAAAAAACTTTTGAAAAAAAATAAATAAATAGTAATAAACAAAATTTGAACAGAATACAAAAAACACGTAGAGTTCCAAAAATTGTGGAAAGGGGGCGGCGGGAAATCATCCCTTTACAAATTTTTCAACTTCCTTCGCCGGTTTTCTTTCCTCTGTCACTACACCTTCTGGCCCCACCCCGTGCCTGTACCCCTTTCACAACGTTATTCCCCCGAGGCCTGCGGTCCCTATTGCTACCCCCGCCTTCACCTGAATAGAACGCCCGGTCATTATACTTATATTTGGTGCAACTTTCAGTCCGCGTACAGTGATAATGACCGGGCGTTCTATTAGGGTGAAGACGGGGTGGAGTTCGATGTGGGATCCTCCTTCGGGCCGGTGCGCAAGCGCCTCGTATGCCTTCTTGACGGCGCACCCTATATATCCACTGTTTCTCGTTGTCGATTCGATATTTCGATCACACTTGATGACGGCGTCGTTCGTTGTGCGTGGATGACACCGGTACCAAGGTTGTCTGCAAAGCGACGTCTCTGTTTCCCCACCCGCAGCGTAGTGAGAGAGAGAGAGAGAGAGAGAGAGAGAGAGAGAGAGAGAGAGAGAGAGAGAGAG